CTAGTCGCGTTTTGTTTTCCTAGCGATATAATATTAGCGATATAAGGTTAATGCACTTCCACGAAGCTACATTACAATAATATTATGATTTAATGCCATGCACTGTGTCTCCCACACCGCAGCACGTGATTATATATGGTTACATGCTGACGTCACAGCGGGTTTCACACAGTGTGGGCGAAGTGTTTATATAATGAGGCAACAATTTCGAACACTGTGTTTACACATCCTCTTCGCGGAAGCTGGCGAGCTAACCTGTATTCCGCTAACCTGTCAGCACTTGATGTGTTGAAGAGCAGCACCGTTGTGCACCGGCTGTGCTGGATAATCATTCATACAAAATTTTCCGTCAATATCTAAATCAATCCACCCATTCACTGTTCAGATACCTACGCAAATTCACTATCCTCCCACTTATCCACCCACTCATTCATTTATTCGGCCATGCATTCTTCCATCCATCCATCCACTCGCCCGACCGACTGGTCACCTGTTCGGTTAGCCGTCCGTCCTTCCATCCAAACATTCGTGTATATATTATAGTATGCATTTAGTTGTGTATTCTCTCACGCGCACTTCTATGTTTGCCGAGGGCACACATACAAACACACACGTACGCGCATTCACACATGCGAACATACACGCGCGCGCACACACGCACACGTGCACATAATGCACACGTGCACACGTGCACACACGCACGCACAGACACACACGCACGCACACGTGTACAGACACACACACGCAGACACACACGCATACGCGCACAGACACGCACGCCCCCACACACACGCACGCACACGCGCACACACACGCACGTACAGACACACATGCACGCATGTCAGTTAGTGAGCGTTGGAGGGCAGTGAGGATTGACGAAGCCTGTAACACGGCGCCGAAATGTTTACCGTAGGCTACGGCGTAGCCAGACGATAGTCGGAAGATAGAAGGAGCACGCGGGTAAAGATGGTTCACTGCTGATAAATGTATGAGGGGAGCTAAAGAGGAAGCACGATGGGAGAGAGGGTTCACGGCCGATAGATGTATGCGGGGAGAGAGGCGGTTAATACATCTGCACGGGGAGAAAAACGGTGACAGTTGTTTGATGGCAGAGAGACGGTTGATAGATATATGCGGGGAGAGAGAGGGTGCACGACTAATAGATATATGCGGGGATAGAAGGTGCATGACTGATAGATGTGTGAAGGGAAAGAGAGAGGGTGCATGACTGATAGATATATGCGGGGAGAGAGGGTGCATGACTGATAGATGTATGCGGGGATAGAGGGTGCATGGCTGATAGATGTACACGGGGAGAGAGGGTGCATGACTGATAGATGTACACGGGGAGAGAGGGTGCACGACTAATAGATATATGCGGGGATAGAGGGTGCATGAGAGAGGGTGCATGACTGATAGATATATGCGGGGAGAGAGGGTGCATGACTTATAGATATATGCGGGTAGAGAGAGGGTGCACGACTAATAGATGTACACCCCTCTCTCTTGCATGACTGATAGATATATGCGGGTAGAGAGAGGGTGCATGACTGATAGATGTACACGGGGAGAGAGGGTGCACGACTGATAGATATATGCGGGTAGAGAGGGTGCATGACTGATAGATATATGCGGGTAGAGAGAGGGTGCATGACTGATAGATGTACACGGGGAGAGAGGGTGCACGACTAATAGATATATGCGGGGAGAGAGAGGGTGCATGACTGATAGATATATGCGGGGAGAGAGGGTGCATGACTGATAGATATATGCGGGGAGAGAGAGGGTGCATGACTGATAGAGATATGCGGGAGAGAAGGTGCATGACTGATAGATATATGCGGGGAGAGAGAGGGTGCATGGCTGATAGATATATGCGGGGAGAGAGGGTGCATGACTGATAGATATATGCGGGGAGAAAGAGGG